GGAAACAGAGGATACCCTTAATGGTGACTGTAAAAAGATTCCCATAGCTCATATGGTATATTTGGGAATTACAAAATAAAAATGCTTTCAAGGGGTCGAAGCTGAGCCAGTAGACATATTTAAGTTGGCGGAGAGTGAATTCTTGGCGTGGACAGATGCACAAATCTGTGTATCGGAGGTGGAGATCACTGCTGGGGAGGATCCCCAATTAGTGGCTCATTTAACGAATCATTTTCGGTGTCAAGTGGATGAGTCCTGGAAGGATAGAGATGTAATCTCAGGGTTGGATTGGGTATGTTTCCAAGGTGACCTTCCTATTCTATTAGGGGCGAAGGGATTGAGACATAAGAGATCGCCGCTACATTCGGAAATGGAAACCCTGATTTGGGCGATGTCATGCATGATGGAGAGTGAAATAGAATGCCATACTTTTGAGACTCATTGCTCTGACTTGGTGGTATTGTAATGAATCCAGCAGAGTGGCCTGCATTCTCGATTTTGTCAGACAAACTCCGGAGTATCCAAGACCGTATGCCGAATTTTTCGTTATCTTTTGTTTCATGTTCTAATAATTTAAAGGCGGACTGTTTAGCCCGTTCTGCACGTACTCGAGGTTTTGATTTTTTTGTATGTAAGTAATTTGCCGCCGAATCGGATTACCAATTTCAATGGTGTATTTTGATTAATATATAGTTTGGTTGAAAAAAAAAGGTTATACATTTACTTTTAAAATTATTTTAAATCATATATATCAGTAAGTATTAAAATGAAATAAACGCTTATGAGAGTCTATTTTAAAATAATTTTAAATCATATCTATAATTATTTTAAATAATTATAAATACGAAGTCGCAAATCCTACGTGGCGGCTCTACGGTGAGTTTAAAACTTGGTCTACCGAAAATATCCTTAATGAATCATATAATTATAATCGTATGCCATCGAGTTGTTACTAGGCCAAAATATTTAGTATAGACCCATAGTTTTTTCATGGCCCATAACAATATATAGGTCGACCATGAACCATATAACATCTATAAATATATCATACTCTACTTAGGCTTTGGCCTCAAGCATTCATAATCCTAATCTCATATTTCTCCACTTTCAAAACCATGGCGATGATCATTAGATGTTTTTATATCATATATTTTTCTTTCACCATCTTCTCTTCTTTTGCAGCGCTCATTAGAGGTTAATGTCGGATGTAAAGCTTGCTCGGAAAGAAAGCGTTTCCAAGCCATTGACACTTTTTCTGTAAGTTTCTTTATTTGTTGTTAGGGTTTAAATTCGGCGTTCTTTTATCGATGGCACTTGACAAAAAACTTGAAACTTTTGCAGAGCTCGTGATCCATATGTTTTATCGATAGGTCAGAGAGCTTTATCACCAAATCTTGGTGGCGGAAAAGAGAAAAAATATATCCCAAGACGTTTTTGTTGTTTTTCTCTATATATCTTTCTATCTTCATAATCTCAATCCTTCGTTTATTGTTCGTGATAATTTGAAAGTTTAATCGATCTTGTGTGTGTATTTTTTTTTAATTCGTGAATGAAAACAACGCTTGTGGCATGATGAAGTGGCTTTAAAGTGATGATGTATTCGTAGGTGATTTTTTCTTAATTTGATTTGTCTGTGTTTTGGTTTAATTAATCCTTTCCAAGATTAGATGATGTATTTTCAAGGACGATAATACATAATCTGCTTATGTGTCTTGAATGGATCTTGGATTATGCATTACTTTTTGGTTTTTATGTAGATTCCTTGTAATACCAAAGTCATCATCTAGAGTTAAGGACTATGGTGATGATGGTGATGATTGGTAACTTATCGACGTTTGTTCTAAGAGCTTTACCTTCAACGAGTTCAAGTTCGCTACTAGAAACTTTAGACCGGACAATGTGATCGGAGAAGGTGGCTTTCGTTGTCTTTAAAGGTTGGTTAGATGAAACCAATCACAGTCCGTCTAGACCCGAAACCGATTTAGTCGTCGCCGTTAAAAAGCTTAACCAAGAATGTTTTCAAGGTCACCGTGAATGGCTGGTACATTGTTCATTTCCTCAAACTTGAGTTTTGTGTGTATTTGTTTGTGTAATTGTGTCTGATTTATTGTGTTCAGTTTGTGTTTCATACAGATGTCAATTACTTGGGACAATTGAGTCACCCATATTTGTTAAGAACACATTATCTCCAACCGGTAAGTCTTGATAGTCTTACACCATTAACAATAGAAATCTTTTTTGTGTGCATTACAAAAATTTAAATTAATCTTGATTTCTTACTTTAGTTCCATGGAGAAGCTATAAGCTCAGTCATTAAATTCTTATGACCATTTAAAAAGCATTGAAAGTGATCGAGAGATAAGAAAACCATAGTTATGTCTCCACCTCCTTTTTTTTACCTTGATTTTTATGTATCATATATCACTTCCAATTTGTAATTCTGTTACGTTTGGTTTCTAATTAAATAGCTATTAGATTTTCTTTATTTCTTCAAGGGGTTTAGTCATACCCCATGACTTCAACTTCAGAAAAAAATTCTTCTTCCTCAAGTAGTATTGTGTTCTCTCGATTATATACACACATAAATCTAAACAATTTAGTCATAAAAATTCATATGACTACAATTATTTCCTTCTAAGTTTCTATTAGAATTACTCTGTTTTTAATTATTTTTAGTGTTATTTACACATAGAACAGAGGCTGTATCGAGAAAATCCATATGTTGGAGTTCTTGCATGCTGCTTAATGATGTCGTCTTAGTAATGTAATTGGGAGATTGACTCAACATATGTAAGATATATATTAATTTATTTCAAATATTGGTTCAGAGATTAATTCTCTAAAAAATTTCTCAATTCATCTCAAATTAATCTTGGTATTTCTTTGAATGTCTTTAGTGCTCAGTTTCATAATATAGTAAGGCTATGWTCTCTTCTTGAAAGAGTTAACAAAAACATTTATTTGATATTTTTCSAGARCTATTATGGATTTTCGGATGGGTTGAGTGAATAATGTATTGGTTGGTGCAAAGGATGTSAAAAGGAAACTCTTGACGTTTACATATCTCCTCTTGATCAGT